ACGATGATCAGCACAAGACCAAATAATGTGATCTGCGTCCTGGTAACCTTGTCCACATTCACAGAGATTGCTGTCCACCAACCCTGTGGTGATCGGAACACGCGAACCGAACTGTAAGCCATCTACTGAGCAAGAGATAACAAATGTATATACAACATCGACCGAACTCACACGATCACTCTCCGAGAGCGTACTCACGCATCTCTAATAGAAGCATCTACCACATCCCCCTTTTCCTGGAGAAAGATTTATTAACCCTCTTTGTAGCAGTGTTCACTCGGCTGTCGACAAAAGCAGGCCACTCTCGATGTGTGCTACGCGATCGTCTGTTCGTCCTCCTCATTGTTCTTCATCAGCAGTTCTTTCGGTCGATGCGTCGTCGACTTTGGAAAGCAACCGTTTCGTGATGAGTGTGTGAGTGCTGACCACGTTTTGCGTCCATTGCTGCAATGGACGCGCTCTGACCCTCGTTGGCGTACAACAATTTGCCATACAATGAAACTACTGGAAGCGGCTCCAGTTCTGATGGAGGAGGCTTTTTGGATAGCGGAAGATAAAGTGTTTATTGTGTTGTGCCTTTTGACTATAGTTTTAAGATGTATTGTATAGTGACCAAGAATCCTCGGCTCTGTAAAGTTAATTCGATTGAGCCTTATCAAATAAATTAATAAACAAAAAAAACCCTCTTTGTATAATAAATGTTATCATGTATCTTTAACAACTATTTATCTGTAATTTATACTTATCTTGTCGGACTGTATCTCCACTGGCGTGCGCAGCCCTCTTTTTTTTTTTTTTTTTTTTTTTTTTTTTTTTTATTATTATAGTCACTTTAACACTCTAGGGTCATTCGTGACTTATCCGGGGGTGAGAGTTGAGCTCGTGACTTTGGCGTGAGAGGTATTGATGTTAACCACTACGCCGGGGTCGCCCCTCACTGCGCAGCCCTCTCCAAAAGTGGGCGCTTCATAGCTTTGAAGGCGCTAATAATTTTGAAGAGTTAATGTTTACTTACTTACATTTTCCTTGCTTTCCAGATTTTCACGATTTCCTTTGAAACATTTCGAGGTTTAACGAAAACTTTTAAAAACTGGTGTTTGTTAGACACATATCTTATTAAAAATTTAGTTTATAAAGTAAATAATTTAACACTGAGACGAAGATCTCTGTAAAATAATTCATCAACTGAATTATGTTTTGAACTCCACGTCCAAGTACAAGTCGCTAATACCAAGGCTGAACTTTTCCCCGAAAGATTGTGAAGTTCCAGACGATATCAGGTATGGTTATAGATTGTAAATCGGGTGCAATGTGATTGCAGTCGTTCTGAAACAAATATACAGGCAATTGCAGATTTTGCTGATAAATTTAGATTATATTGAGATCCCCAGGATGACCCCGGCAGAAGTTGTAATTGGGAACAATTATAGTTTTTCACCAAAACATACAGATTAACAGTTCTTTTGTTCATGATTTAATCTGCAGTCTTGCAATGGATTACAATTACTATTATTATCTAGTTCGTTTATTTGGAAGGCTCAATCGCGTTAGCTTTACGGAGCCGATAATTCATTGTTCACTGTGTGTAACAAAATTCACTTAATTCTATGTCTAGTAGGAGTTGGGCCGATTACTCGCGGCTTACTCGAGGTTAGAAGGGTACATTTTCGAAGGATAGGATCAGGGGAGGAGCTTGGGGTAGGGTTTCGTTGTCTCATCAGAGCGTTGTCGCCAGTATGAACGGTAGTGCTGTTCTAGCTTCGTCCGGAGTTCGACCGGCTATGGTGGGTGACCAGTGGGCGACGATGAGACTCATCGAGACGGGGGGACAAGACAAACAAAAACTAATAAAGAGAGACAAAAGACAAAAGGAATTAAATTCTTATACTAGACATTTGAAGAAAAACATAAACGGACTGCATATAGCAGAGATCACGGGTTGCCAACACGTCTCTGATTACAATTACTAATACGCGATTGATTTCTAGATGCGTTTTGTAATTTTATCCCTGGTAATTTAATAGAAGTATATTTATAGTATATTATAGAACTTCATGGAAATGCATGGATCTTCACAGAATTTCATGAAACCACTAGCGTCTTTTACAGCAAACAGATATTCTCTCATATGATACCAGGTTGCTTAGAAATTATTGAAAAGATCTTCAGATATGGAGAGATCTCCATGAAGTCCGATTGTTATTTTTACCAGACTTTTTTTTTAAGATCTTAGATCACGTTTATTAGATGTTTTCTCATGATACCAGGTTGCTCAAAAATTATTCCGGAGACCCCACAGGTGATGAAAGATCCCCATGATAACCTCAGGATACACTTGCAAGACTTAAAGTTGATTATGTATCATTCTGAAAATATCCAACGTTTGGCTGCTGGGTACATTATCAAAGAGCTTTGAGTGTGATTGAAATTAACTCTTAAACAACAATAATTCATGGGTAATTCTGAGCTATTAGGGTGTTCAACACGGATGAGGCTTATGAGTTGTTTGTTGTTTGGAACGAGGGTGACGCAGTTGGCATAGATGGCCCACAGCGACTCACGAAGAGCTACTCAATCCGATCAGTAGCGGTGCGGCTTCTTCCTCCTTCTTGGGTGAATAGATGCTCATATGGGCTGCAGCTCGCTGCTTGCGGGCATCCTCTCGTTGTGTACTGAAGAACAATGTTCAACGTCACGCGCTGAAATCACTGCTGCAGCTGCTGCTGATGACAACCGATCGAACACTACCACACACATTCGATTTTGAAATCTGTGTTAGGGAAAGCGCTCTTTGCAGACAATCGGTGGTAATTTTGATCACCATTGCAACAGTTGGGCATTTGTGTAATTTTCTATAGTGACCTATTGAAAATAGATAAAGTGTTCATTTAGAACATACGTAGAAAAAATTCCAATCGATTGTCTTGTTTAGAATTAAAATCCATCCGCTATTGACAGAGTTATAAGGGGTCAAAACCTGATCAATGTTCGTAACGTGGTCGATTTTGGTTTTTTTTTATATTGCACTCCCAATATATTGCCGAAAGACGTAATGCTACGTCAAAACTTCTCATAATGTTTTTTTCAAGGCTTCAGATAAATCATGTATAATTCTGAAGATCTTCAACTGTTCAACAATTTAAATCACGTTTCTCATATATTCACCCTCGATACCAGGGTGCTCAGAAATTATTTCAAAGACCGTCAGGTGATCAGAGATCTCCATAAAATATTCTCCTCCATCATCAAATCGCACTTCACATAGTACTTTCTATACATGTTTCGACAGAAGAATCATCCGGCTCCTCTTCGAACTCGTTCCCTGGTACTGGATTACGTTGCTGTAATCATCTTGTGCCAGGAAACATGTTCTTGAATCAGAATGACCTTCTCCGTTCGTGCTAAAATCACCGAAGTAATCAAACTTTGCACACGCACACATATGTAGCGATAAATACCAAACAGTTTTTAAAACTGTTGATCGTGTTGGAGTTTAATTTTTTGACAGTTTTAAATTTTAAAACTGTCGAGTAGTTTGAAACAATTTTTAAACTCAGCATTGCGAACGGCTAAATAATTTCGGAAAATGTGATCACTGAACTGTCGTATTTGGAGAAACGATCATAGCAATAGGGCTCTTATGATTCTGAACGCTAGATATTGGTAAAGCATCCCCGCAAACCTTTGATCCTTTTCCTCTCGAATATGCATCAATTCAGTAAAAAAATAAATTTCAAATCAATATGAAAGTAATAGCACACATCAAAACTGATCCCTTTCGAACGCGTTTCCTGTCCAAACTGACGTTCAGTAGATTGCAAAAAAAAGAACGCGATAAAAATGCGTCAAATAGCTCCAATAATTGCATTACGTGGAAATTATTTATTTGCGCTCGATTTTAATTGAATGTGTACATTCGTTTATTAAACATTTTCATTTTAATTGAATTACGCCGATAAGCCCGGACCGCCCATCGCATAGCAAAGCCGTCGTCAACGTGATGGTTGCTTTCTTTCGCTTCAGCCCCTGTGCCCGGCAATCACCATGGCAGCAGGGGCAGGACATATTGGGGTTAAAGCGGGGACGTTCGATTGTTTGGAATGATATTTTTTGCACAATTATTTATTTATTTGAAAGTAGTTAAGGTATTGGCTAGCGTTGTTGTTTAAACTCTGTTTAAATCAAAATTGTTTTTTTTTTAGTTTGAAGTCAATTGATTGGAATACATAATTATGGAGGTCGTGACAGTTTGTATTGCTTCCACATTTTATTCAATCACTCACCCTGCAGGGCATCTATGGGTGGACAGGATTGAACTGCTCGAAGCGCCGAAATGTATTGGTGAGTGTTGTAAATTAATTGGCTGCTGAACTACTGACGATTAACATTTGTTTCGGTCACATTTGACACATGTTTTGAAATGATAATACAAACAAGCAGAACACTTGAAAGGACTCCATCTACGAATCCTTATCAATCCCTTTGTTGTAACCCATGGATGATTAGTTCCAATTTCGAACCTGCAATCAATACTGATCATGCATTAAGTGCTATACCCAACCGGGAAATGTAAGATTCTATTACAGATTTGCATGAAAACTATGCAGAATTTTCAATTTTTTGCGATATGAATAGATTCTGTAATGTGTAATATATTTTTAGAAAAAAGTTTGTTTCCGTCTGAAAATAGTCTCGTGAAGGTTTTTTACAAAAATATGCATTCTGGAAAAACTTGCTTGTACGCTGCCATTACACTTATTGTATGAAACATATGCAGAGGATGTAATAAACCCAACCTCACATTGGATGTAAGAGAAATTTGTTTTACGTGCATTGCAGCGTTGCACTTCATCGTTGTGCAGCTAGAGTGTAGATTCGAGTTTCCATTTTTAGCCAACAAAGCAATTTTGCGACCTGTCCCCTTCACCGAATAGCGCCCCGAATGCGACACGCTGCTGGTGTGCACACATTAACTGTTGTTATTATTTCTCTCCCGGCAGGTCCGCACGCCGAGTTCGAATTATCGCCGATCCTATCGATTGGGATATTTATTGGCATTTTAACGGTGATAATCTGCATAATAATCGCCGTCGCTGCCGCACTGAAGCTGCGCACCAGCCAGCCCGGCAAGGGACATCACGCGGCCAGCGGCAACGGCAAGGCTGGTGGCGTCCTCGGCAAACGGCCCAGTAATCTACCAATTAAGGAGAAAATCTCCGTACCGCTCAGCCAGTCGGAGGACATGTACGACGAGAAGAATCCGGACGTGGTACCCACGAACGAAGGTGAGTTGCGCTTTTTTTTCCTTTCTTCGGGCCACCTTTTGGTCCGTTCATAGTCGGTGGGGCCCCCAATGATAGTTAACCGGTTGCATATTGATCAGTTTCTGCGCTAACCATGCGGCAGCGCCACTGGTTTCGTCTTTCGTTGCTGCACGGTTGGAATCCCGTGGTGCCCTGTAATCTCGTTTATTAAGTCGTTAGGAATCGCTACGGGTTGTGGATCGGAATGGACTTTTCGCCGAAGCGTATTAGAAATTCTGCTAACGTTTATCGGGCTAAGTAGAGTTCTCGGGTGGATTCGGTGGAATGGTGATTTTTTTTTTCCATTGTAAATACGCCAAGAGACAGTAGCCTTTAATAGGTTTCAGTCATTATGCAAGCTCAAAGGTTGATTTTTTCCTTTTTCTTAAAACAGAGTAGATTTTCCAGCAACGGTGGAGAGCAAGGATCCGATTTCTAGATTTTAATCAATATTAATTCAGCACACATTTGAAACAGGGAGTGAGGGGTGCATGCTGCTTTTAACCGATGGAAAACTCGACCAGATTAGGTAAATAAAGGGTGTCCACAGTTAAATTGCAACAGTTAGAAGTACTCGCTAAAAATAAGTCTATCAACTGATCTATCTTTATTTCACTCTATTTCTTCACAAAATCCCGAACTTTCGCCCATAAGGTTTTGTACAAAGGTTGAATTAACATTTTTGTCTGATTTCAACCATGGTTTCAACATTTCTTGCTCCGTAGTGACAACTTTAGGATGCTTACGGAGTATCTTTAAATCAGCCGCAACTCCGGTGTGTTTGGGGGATTGAGATCCTGCGGCACGAAATTGACCCCATTCGTCTTGTATCACTCCAGAACGTCTTGAAGTAGTGACAGGAGACTAGATCCGGCCAAAAAAATGTAGGAACGTTGTGTGATTTGAGAAACGGAAGCAGTCGTTTCTTCAGGTACTAATTAATGTAGACTTGGCCATTTACGGTTGTAGTTGTTACGAAGGGCTTGCTCCGTTTTCCGCACGAACAAACCGCCTGCCAAATAATGAATTTCTTGAGGAACTTCGACACTTGCTGTTTCCTGAGGGACTCTGAAATATTGAACTTGTCTTTCGCTGTCACATACTGGTTTCTCGGAATTTGTTTGAAGTCTCCTTTTACGTATGATTCATCGTCCATGAATCAGTGTGGTTTTGTCAACATTTGTGTGTACAGCTTACGTGCCCAAATTCTAGTTGTCCTATTCTGTCACTCATTGCGGTTTGGTTTCTGAACCTGCTTGTTTCTTAGCTTTCTGCATGAAACTGTTTGTCAGGTGCAGTTTTTTTTTCTCGCGACATCCCGAACGGAATAGTTGGGTTTGCATTTGAAGGCAGCAACCACTCGCTTGTGAACTTCAACGCAGTACGGAACACTTTTTCTTGCACTCCCTTCCTTCCGATCGACAGTTAAACGTTCTTCGAAACGTTTTATGACACGAGAAACAGTAGATTGTTGGATTCCCAACATCTTTCCGATGGCTTGTTGAGGTGCGTATGCAAAATTTTATCGCGCACGCACTGCTCCTTAGACTCCATTTTCTAAATTACTAAGATTTTCTTAATGAACAAGTAAACAATACACGCTGAGGCCATCTCACCCAAAGGGCAAAATATTACAGCTTTTTTCAAGTGTTTCTATTTAACTGTGCACACCCTTTAGACTGAACATCATTATACCAAAAATGTTAGGCTGGATGCGATCAAGTTTTACCAATAATTAGTTTATTTTTTAGTCTTATCTGAGCTTGTTTTCCATTTTCTATGCTTGATTTTCATACTCAGGACTTTTGTCACGAATTTCCTATAATTCATCCCAGAATTTATGCAGAGTACAATAGGAGGTTTCAAGCTTTATCATTCAAGGAACTTTTTTAGTTATACAAATTAATGACTAAGCACCGAATTCGCCAGAAAAAAGAAATAGGCAGTCATTCCACCGACAAACCGACATAAAACTTAAACTTAACTCTTGATCGAGAATCCATAACGACCGATTCAAATGTGCAGCGATCCCATCTGTCAAAACCATAGAAATGTTTTATCTAGATAAAAATAATTTGCCCGAAACAGATTAGACACGAACCAACTCAAAAATTTTGTAAGCGTGTTCGTGGCTAGGATAAATATTTTCCGCGAACACGGCGGCAGATGTCAGTTTTGTGCTTTGATCAGAATTTTTTTTGTTATTATGATCATTCATGTTGGTTTGTCGGTGGTCAAACCATAAAGAAGATTACCATCAGGATCAAGGATGATCCTAGAAAATGTTTAATAACTCTTAAAAGCCACGCACAATGCATCCAGATCTGATCCGTTGCGGCAAAGTCGTAGCTAGATCTGCTGCCTAACTGTCACATTTACCGTAACGAACCAGATTCAGATGCAGTGTGCGTGGCTCTTTAGACTTGACAGAAATTCAGAACCATAGGGAAAAATTAATGAGTTCTCTAAGTCCGAGAACTCATAGAGATGGTTGACAGCTCCCATACCACCACCAACATAGCTGAGCAGTGATTTACTATCAATCCTAAAACACCTACTCAACAGGATTACTTGCCCACAAACAACCCAGGTAACAATTTGATGCTTAACAAGTGTTGTTCTCAGTGTTCACTCGGCTGTCGACAGAAGCAAACCACTCTCAATTTGTGTGTCACGCGATCGTCTGCTTACTCGGCAGCAACCATTGTGTGGTCCTCCTCATTGTTCTTCATCAGCAGTTCTTTCAGTCGATGCGTCGTCGACTTTGCAAAGCAACCGTTTCGTGATGAATGTGTGAGTGCTGACCACGTTTTGCGTCCATTGCTACAATGAAAGCGTTCTGACCTTCGTTGGCGAATCTGCCATACAAGTAAACCACTGGAAGCGACTCCCGTTCTGGTAGAGGAGGGTTATTGGATAGCGGAAGATAAAATGTTTATTGTGTTGTACCTTTTGACTATAGTTTTACGGTGTATTGTATTGTATAGGCTCTGTAAAGTTAATTCGGTTGAGCCTTATCAAATAAATTAATAATAATAAAAAAAAAGTGTTGTTCAATCGATTTAAAATTCAGCCTTAGTTTGAATAATTGTTGTACATAGACCACGTTAATCTTTGTTCAGATTTTAAACATCTAAATCTGGTGATTTTAATCAGCCAAAAGCTTAACAGTTATATAAATTACAAGCTTTTTAAGGCATTAAATAACAGTTAGAAACTGGTGACAGCAAAACATTCCTCTCATTTTAAAGCGTAGTTAACACAATGTGGACACATGTGCGCGATTTATTTCGATGGTCATGTGGAAGCTATTTTAGTGCCATAATTGAGTTATATTTTTGGAATTCTGTCTGAAAATTCTGTGCAATATAGCAGTCAAAACACAGAAATGTTAATACTTCCGACATCGTCGTAGCCCCAATCTACCTGGAGCTATTCCTTAAAAGCTCCTCTATCTTGTATCTACTGCTGCCGCTGCTTGGAATTAGAAAGATAGGCAGTGAATTTAGAAGAACTAAAATGCCGAAAATGCAACAAGTGATACTAACTACATTTAACAAATCAAGCTATCAAAATATGTCAAATACGCATTGCTTATTTGTGGAGTAGTGTTAAGCAAAAATAAGGCTTGTTCAATCTTTAGATCAGCTAATTGATTGAGATTGAATTATGGGGATACAATTAGCTTCATGCACTACTAATCAACTATATATTCAGCCTGCTGTTAATCAGCTTTGCACACCTTTAAATCAACCAATAATCAGCATTTGTTCTTACTGTTCAGCTTGAATTGTTGCTTGGGAAACCGCCGAGGTTGCTATCGGGTATACATCAGCCATTCCATAGCAAAACAATATAGTGATTCTCAGAATTTCGCAAAAAAATGGTAGTTTGGTTCCTTATCGCAAAATATTAGACCCGTATTATTTTATTTTGTCATTATGGTGACAGTTTCCATGTTAGCGTAATCAAAAAAAAAACTTGATTGCTTTCGATTTTTTTTTTCAAAAATGACTTGTTTGAATTTTTTTCTTATGGTTTTCAGACAGAGGGCGCAATATGTTTTTATATTTTTCCTTGAAAATTTAGGCTTTTTTGACGTAGAACTACGTCTTTGTTTTCTATATGGAGGCACACTTTGCGAGTACGAAAAATGAACATGTAACGAACAGTGATCAGGTTTTGAACGCATATTTCTCCAAAGCATTAAAGTAAAATATGTCATGCAATATGCCATTCGATGGGGACTTCATTCAGCAATTTTGTGGGATGATGATGATGATGATGATGATGGTCCCACCTCTTACCCCTACAAAGGTTTGAGCTGGACGAGTTATCTTTAAGATAATTAAATATAAACATTTTAACCAGGTTTGCAAACAAAATCGAGCTGGTTACAATTACAGATATAAATGTCCTGTTATATATGTTATAGGCATCAACCAAAAACATTCAAAGGTGTAACTTGTTATCAAAAGTCCAAGTATAGTCCTCGACAATACTTCCATTTACACGTGACCTGGGATTTACACGTTTAAGCTTCCGCAGTGCCAGGACTATATCCAAGGAAACGACTTCCAGCTAACCCTTTTCTAATTTAAGGCTTTTGCCACAATTTCCACGTATTAGTCATAGTGTATTCCACGCGCGAGGCACAAACCATTGTAGACTACTAGCTATCTAGCAAGCTATTTTTACTATTACTACTACAAAATCAAAAAACTAAAAATCCATCATCACCATCGAGGCAACCAATGTAGTTTTTTGTATATGCTACACAAATTACTAAAATATCTGTATGACAGTCTCCATACAAAATAATCCGTTAGAGATAACTTTGTCAAGATACAGTACAAATAATGAAAATAGTTAAACAGCCAATACATTTAACTAAAATTGTTAGCATCGAAATTTCCCATACATATGCCTAAACCACAAGGAGTCTTTCCTAACACAGCCAGCACATAGTTGGTCCCAAACGA